TAACAAAAGTGATAAAAATAGTAATGATTATGATAACAATAAAGATATCTGAATAATGATGACAAATAAGTTAATTTTCAGAATTTAGGATATAATACTATAGCTATAATCAATATTCCCTGAATCGCTTTCATTTTTGTTCACCTTTCCATTGCTTGTACATTTTCTTTGGCACCAGTCAGAAGTGGAGATATGACTTTTTCAGGATTTGAATCTGAGAAGACTATAGGAGTGTGGCAATATATGATATAGAATAACTTCTCATATTACTTTATTTGTCTATTTTTGTAAGGGGATGTGAAAACAGCCTCACCCAGGAGCCAAGGCGCTGTACGATACAAAAGATTAGACTGTAGAAAGGAAGGAAAGCCACGCCCCCTTGCCCATTTTCTGAGGTGGTCAAGATGTTTCCCCAAGGTATTTAAGGCGGCGTCATACCCATGGCCACCAGACAGCTCCTTGACGGTGGCCAACATGAACTCTCTGGTTAGTTTAGGAACCCCAGTTTCGCTGAGGTTGAACGGAGTCTCTTCTCGTTTTGGTGATTCAGTCAGGTTTAAAGATGAAATTTTCTCGGTTTCTAATTCAGTGTTATTTTCATGTAATGAAAATGATGCATTTCAGACTGTGATTTCGGTGGCGGCTCTCGTGGCTAGCGGCAGCGCCTCCTTGCTTGCGTACAACGGCGTATATGGAGGCCATCACGGCCTTCTTGGCGCCTATCCTTACGCAGGGTATTCTGTGTGGTGCCCTACGCATACGCAGGTGGCCTTCCCGCAGCTGCTCCTCTCTCCCTCAAAACACCGGTAATCAAGACCTTGGCTCCTACACCTATCTCTTACAACGTAGCTCCTCACCTGTATCCTACAACGTGGCACCTGCACCTGTTTCCTACAACGTAGTTCCCTTCGCACCTGTAGCACCTGTCAGTCTCAGTATCACGCTCAGGATGAGATCGGTCAGTACTCCTTCGGTTACGCCGGCGGTCCTTCTTCACGCGCTGAGTCTCGCGATGCCTTCGGTGTTGTCCGTGGATCGTACAACTACGTGGACTCTGAGGGCAAGGTTCAGACTCAGCACTACGTGGCTGACGCCCTTGGCTTCCGTGCGTCCGGCACCAACCTTCCTGTGGCTCCTGACGCCCTCTGGCCGCCCTCCCCCGGCCCCGTCCCCGAACCCGTCCAGGACACTGCTGAGGTAGTCGCCGCCAAGCTCGCCCATTTCCAGGCCTACAACGAAGCCGCCGCCGCCGCCGCTGCCGCCCCAGACACCCGCTAAAGAGTGTTTTAGAAACTGCATCATATCTGTGCGTAGAGCTCTCGCCAGCAGATAACATCAAGACTCTAGTCAGTTTCGATCGAGAGTTGACGAACGTGTATGAGATACCTCTGAATAAAAGTTTCTGTAAGATTTTTACTTCCTTCTACATTTCTATACCCAATAATTTCATACCCTTTTTTAATCATGTTCCTAAGAGGACAATGTTATGCCCATTATTATTTTTTTATCAACCTATTTTAATGCAAGTAAAATCGGGTGTAGTTTGCTCTCCATTTTACACATCAATATATTAACACAATCTTTTCTATGCCGTTCCTTAAACTATGAAATCATTGTACACGAAAATTATTATTGCTTTATTTGGGATTTTTAGAACACGAGGACGAGATATAGTCCCTGTATGAAATATATTTCACTCATTTTGATTATGGTAATGAGTAATGGTGATTGTAATACTGTAAGTCATGTTTAATAATCATATTGATATCAACAATACGCGACCGATGGGGATGATTACTATACCTCTAATAATGAAAATGGTAATAGAAAATGGTAATGGCAATAGCAATGCTAATAAACATGATAATTGATGATATAGATAAATATAATCATAATTTCGTTGAAATAGCTATACACTCGCTTGGTTTCAAATGGCAAGCGTGTCTGATTTTCCCCACGCTCACTTCGTGGGAAGAGCAGCCGCGTACTCTGTCAAGTAAATGAGAATAATTTTTGTATATCAAGATGGCCGTCCCTTCGATTACTATTCCAAGATTTTTACTGAGGGAGAGAAGTTTGGCAATGCTGATTTACGGGTATATAATCTGTAAACGACCTTCTTTTCATTTACAGTTCCAAGAAATCTTAATGAAACAAAGCATTCATTACCAAGTTCAGCAGTGTCAACTCGAGTCTTTCCTGTGTCATGTTAGTTCAATTCAATCTACGTGTAACAGAAACAACGGAGGTGATTTATGATTTAGTTTAATTTCATTAGTCACAATGAATATTTTTTGGATCAGGGTGTCTATTTATTATTACTTCTAAATTACCCCTTGTGTGCAAGGAAAGGCCGGGTTACCATCAACTGGCGGAGCGGGATTAGAACGCAGGTCAAGATTGCTGGACAGAAAAATACCACTGCACTACACAGAGTAGTAGTACATGAAGGGAGATTTTGTTACTTTAAAAGACATGATTTGGTCTATGTTTTAAGATTCGATTAATAATACAATTTGAGTCGCATCCAATCCACATTAATTGAAAATCGCTTCTAGAATGAGAAGCTTATTTTCTCATATTATTTACACTTAGATGAAGGTATACTTAGACAAACAAGTTCGTTATAGTTTTCTATTCATCCTTCATTGCCTGCATCTTATATGAGTAAATGAGTATGCACTTACATAGTAGAAGTACCGATCTCCATTGACATTAGTCATAAAATAGAAAGACAAAAACAAACAGATTGTCCATGTAGTAGGATACTCAGCATATAATGCAGCTAACCTTCAGCCCATTCAAACATATGAAATTTTATTATACCTTCTAATCCTTGCCATTGCCTTCTTTCTGATTTGAATTCCTAATATTTAGATAAATATTATGCGGCATTTGTTTACCAAAGTATTTATTCAAGTGTTTTTGCCATTCAGATTATAAAAATGCCGTAAAACCTGTTTACATGACTATGAAACAAAATGCTCATCCTTGTATTTGTCAGAGATATTTCTCAAATACAAATTCTCAAGAAATATTTTGGGTCATGCAGTTGATCAGATAACCAATTATTCACCAACATTTTTTTTTCAATAGTATTTCTATTCAAATTTATCAGTAAACATTTCCTAAATCTTGTATGACTTGATTTGTGTTTATTTCTCGTTTTCCTGCAATCCTCGAGGTCACTTTCCCTCCACACCTGCGCCACCAAAAAACATCCTTTGAAACCTCTACTTAAGGGCACCTCAAGTTAAACAATAGGAGATGGTCCTATAAGCGATGCATATAACAGTAAATCTCAAAATTCTATCCCGGATTTAGAACATTTTATTTATCGCAACGAAAGGTCGAAAATAGAAAGGAAGGATAGTCACGCCCCTTCCGAAATGGTCATGTTCCCCGGGTATTTAAACCGCAGCCATACCCATGGGCATCAGACAGCTCCTTGGTGGTGGGTCAACATGAATGCTCTGGTGGGTTCAAGGTAGTCCAGGTAGAATATGGGGACTCATATTTTGTTTGTATATTAAGGTTGTTGAATGAAATCTTTGTTTCTGGATTTCATTACACGATAACGTGCTGTAATGGAAATGTTCCATTTCAGACTGTGATTTCGGTGGCGACCCTCGTGGCTAGCGGCAGCGCCTCCTTGCTTGCGTACAACGGCGTATATGGAGGCCATCACGGCCTTCTTGGCGCCTATCCTTACGCAGGGTATTCTGGTGTAGTGCCCTACGCATACGCAGGTGGCCTTCCCGCAGCTGCTTCTCTCACCATCAAAACACCTGTAATCAAGACCTTGGCTCCTACACCTATCTCTTACAACGTGGCTCCTGCACCTGTCTCCTACAACGTAGCTCCTGTAGCTGTATCCTACAACGTAGCTCCTTCATCTGTTTCCTACAACGTAGCTCCTGTGGCACCTGTTCAGTCTCAGTATCACGCTCAGGATGAGATCGGTCAGTACTCCTTCGGTTACGCCGCGGTGCATCTTCACGCGCTGAGTCTCGCGATGCCTTCGGTGTTGTCCGTTGGTTCGTACAACTACGTGGACTCTGAGGGAAAGGTTCAGACTCAGCACTACGTGGCTGACGCCCTTGGCTTCCGTGCGTCCGGCACCAACCTTCCCGTGGCTCCCGACGCCCCTCTGGCCGCCCTCCCCGGCCCCGTCCCTGAACCCGTCCAGGACACTGCTGAGGTAGTCGCCGCCAAGCTCGCCCATTTCCAGGCCTACAACGAAGCGCCCGCCGCCGCGCCCCGCGCCCCAGACACCCGCAAGAAGCGTACAACGTGGCGTACAACGGCGTATATGGAGGCCATCACGGCCTTCTTGGCGCCTATCCTTACGCAGGGTATTCTGGTTTGGTGCCCTACGCATACGCAGGTGGCCTTCCCGCAGCTGCTCCTCTCTCCCTCAAAACACCTGTAATCAAGACCTTGGCTCCTACACCTATCTCTTACAACGTAGCTCCTGCACCTGTCTCCTACAACGTAGCCCCTGCACCTGTCTCTTACAACGTAGCCTGCACCTGTATCCTATAACTTGGCTCCTGCACCTGCTTCCTACAACGTAGATCCCTTCGCACCTGTAGCACCTGTCCAGTCTCAGTATCACGCTCAGGATGAGATCGGTCAGTACTCCTTCGGTTACGCCGGCGGTCCTTCTTCACGCGCTGAGTCTCGCGATGCCTTCGGTGTTGTCCGTGGTTCGTACAACTACGTGGACTCTGAGGGCAAGGTTCAGACTCAGCACTACGTGGCTGACGCCCTTGGCTTCCGTGCGTCCGGCACCAACCTTCCCATGGCTCCCGACGCCCCTCTGGCCGCCCTCCCCGGCCCCGTCCCCGAACCCGTCCAGGACACTGCTGAGGTAGTCGCCGCCAAGCTCGCCCATTTCCAGGCCTACAACGAAGCCGCCGCCGCCGCCGCTGCCGCCCCAGACACCCGCTAAAGAGTGTTTTAGAAACTGCATCATATCTGTGCGTAGAGCTCTCGCCAGCAGATAACAGCATCAAGACTCTAGTCAGTTACGATCGAGAGTTGACGGACGTGTATGAGATACCTCTGAATAAAAGTTTTTGTAAGGAAGATTTTGTCTCAATTACTTTCTTCTACATTTCTGTACCCAATAATTTTATACCCTTTTTTTTAATCATGTTCCTAAGGAGGACAATGTTATGCTCATGTTTTTTTTTTTTTTTTTTTTTTTTTTTTTAATCAACCTATTTTAATGCAAGTAAAATCGAGTGTAGTTTGCTCTCCATTTTACACATCAATATATTAACACGATCTTTTCTATACCGTTCCTTAAACTATGAGACCATTGTACACGAATTTATTGCTTTATTGGGATTTTTAGAACACCGAGGACGAGATATGGTCCCTGTATGAAATATATTTCACGCATTTTGATGCTAATGATTTTAATACTGTCAGCCATATTTAATAATCATATTGATATCAACAATACGCTACTGATGGGGATGATTACTATACCTCTAATAATGAAAATGGTAATAGAAATGGTAATGGCAATAGCAATGTTAATAAACATGATAATTGATGATATAGATAAATATAATCATAATTTTGTTTAAATAGTTATACACTCGCTTGGTTCCAAATGGCAAGCGTGTCTGATTTTCCCCACGCTCACTTCGTGGGAAGAGCAGCCGCGTATTCTGTCAAGTAATTGAGAATAATTTTTGTATAGCAAGATGGCCGTCCCTTCGATTTCTATTCCAAGATTATTTAATGAGGGAGAGAAGTTTGGCAATGCTGATTACGGGTATATAATCTTTAAACGACCTTCTCTTCATTTACTCTTTTCGGTTACAGTTCCAAGAAATCTTAATGAAAAAAGCATCATTACCCAAGTTCAGCAGTGTCAAACTCGAGTCTTTCCTGTGCCATGTCAGTTCAATTCAATCTACCTTTAACAGAAACAACGGAGGTGATTTATGATTTTTAATTTCATTAGTCACAATGAATATTTTTGGAACAGGGTGTCTATTTATTATTACTTCTAAATTACCCCTTGTGTGCAAGGAATGGCCGGGGTTACCATCAACTGGCGGCGCGGGATTAGAACGCAGGTCAAGATTGCTGGACGAGAAAGATACCACTGCACTACACAGAGTAGTAGTACATGAAGGGAGATTTTTGTTACTTTAAAAGACATGATTTGGTCTATGTTTTAAGATTTGATTAATAATGCAATTTGAGTCGCCTCCAATCCACATTCATTGAAAATCGCTTTTAGAATGAGCTTATTTTCTCATATTATTTACACTCAGATGAAGGTATACTTAGACAAGCAAGTTCATCATACTTTTCTGTTCACCCTTCATTACCTGCATCTTATATGAGTAAAAAAGTATATGCACTTATCCAGGACATGTGCCATACTCTATTGATATTAGTCATAGAATAGAAATAAATAAAATAAGAAAGAAAAAGGAAACAGACTGCCTCGACAGTAAAATAATACCAGCATATAATGCAGCTAACCTGCAGTCTATTCAAACCTGGGAAACTTGTTATACCTTTTAATCCTTGCCATTGCCTTCTTTCAGGTTTAAATTCCTAGTGTTTAGATAAATATTACGCGGCATTTGTTTACCAAAGTATCTATTCAAGTGGTTTTGTCCTTCAAATTATGATAAAGTCCTGAAACCTGTTTACATGATTATGAAACAAAATGTTCATCCTTGTATTTGTCAGAGGTATTTCTCAGATTCAAATTCTCAAGAAATATTTTGGGTCATACAATTGATCAGATAACGAATTATTCACCAACGTTTTTTTTTTCCAATAGTATTTCTATTCAAATTATCAGTAAACATTTCCTAAATCTTGAATGACTTGATTTTTTGTTTATTTTTCGTTTTCCTGCAATCCTCGAGGGTCACTTTCCCTCCACCATCTGCGGCTCCCAAAACATCCATTTGATATCTCTACTTAAGGGCACCTTAAGTTAAACAATGGATGGTCCTATAAGCGATGCATATAAAAGTAAATCTCAAAGTTCTATCCCGGATTTAGAACATTTTATTTATCGCAACGAAAGGTCGAAAATAGAAAGGAAGGATAGCCACGCCCCTTCCGAAATGGTCATGTTCCCCGGTATTTAAGCCGCAGCCTTACCCATGGGCATCAGACAGCTCCTTGGTGTGGGTCAACATGAATGCTCTGGTGAGTTCAAGGTAGTCCAGGTAGAATATGGGGACTCATATTTTGTTTATATATTAAGGTAACTGAATGAAATCTTTGTTTCTGGATTTTCATTACACGATAACGTGCTGTAATGGAAATGTTCCATTTCAGACTGTGATTTCGGTGGCGATCCTCGTGGCTAGCGGCAGCGCCTCCTTGCTTGCGTACAGCGGCGTATATGGAGGCCATCACGGCCTTCTTGGCGCCTATCCTTACGCAGGATATTCTGGTGTGGTGCCCTACGCATACGCAGGTGGCCTTCCCGCAGCTGCCTATAATCGCCTGCCCCCTACAACCAAGCTATAATCACCTTGGCCTTACAACGTGGCTCCTCCTGCAACGTAGCTCCTGCACCTGTTTCCTACAACGTAGCTCCTGTGGCACCTGTAGCACCTGTTCAGTCTCAGTATCACGCTCAGGATGAGATCGGTCAGTACTCCTTCGGTTACGCCGGCGGTGCATCTTCACGCGCTGAGTCTCGCGATGCCTTCGGTGTTGTCCGTGGTTCGTACAACTACGTGGACTCTGAGGGCAAGATTCAGACTCAGCACTACGTGGCTGACGCCCTTGGCTTTCGTGCGTCCGGCACCAACCTTCCCGTGGCTCCCGACGCCCCTCTGGCCGCCCTCCCGGCCCCGTCCCCGTACCCGTCCAGGACACTGCTGAGGTAGTCGCCGCCAAGCTCGCCCATTTCCAGGCCTACAACGAAGCCGCCGCCGCCGCCGCTGCCGCCCCAGACACCCGCAAGAAGCGTTCCATCCTTGCGGCTCCCGGTCTCGGCGTCTACTCTCCTCTCCGTTTCTCCTACGGATTCTCCACTCCCTCCACTACGCCCACCCAACTACCTATGCTTCTCCTCTTCACTACACTGCCGCCCATCCCGCCCTCACCACCTACAACGCCGTCCACGTCCCCACCACCTACGCCGCCGCCGCCAGACCCGCCCTCCGTGACGCCGAACTCCTCCGCGTGGTCCACAACCCCGCCCACGCCACCTCCTACCGCGTGCTCAACTGAGTTGGAATCCAGTCACGTGAGGTGTGACGAACGCATTTGATGAGGTTTGACACCTCACTATTTGTACAAAGAGCGAATTATGTATGATCTATTAAATAAAATGATTTCACTGTCAGCATACTGTCATGAACCTAAACCTCAGTCAGCTAGTAACGTGTACGGCAATAATAATAATAATAATAATGAAAACATATTTAGTTGCCCTATCTATCTGCGTTCACACTTTCACACACACACACACACACACACACACACACACACACACACACACACACACACACACACACATATATATATATATATATATATATATATATATACATATTGCATACAAATGCATGTAAATGTATAAATCCACGAACCAACATACACACACACACATAAAAAAAAGAGTTTGTACATATACACGAATATATATATATATATATATATATATATATATATATATATATATATACATTTACATATATATATACATATATATATATGTATATATATATATATATATATATATATATATATATATATATATATACATATTTATCTATATATGAATATATATGTTTGTGTGTGTGTGTGTGCACCATATGTAATAGAACAGAAAAATATAAAATCACAGAATTACAAAAACAATGAAAACTTTTATGGAGTCACATACCTAAGTAGAACAGTTATCAATAACTATGATCTCCAGTTCCCCTTTCTATCCATACCTTTCTTTCTCTTTTCCCAGTCAGTGTTAAGCAGCACATTAACACTCCTGACATCTGCCGGGGGAAATTCAACACAGGAAGACAAAGCATATTTATATGCACTCTTACATACTCGATATCATATTTCTTGACAGTATGTCCAGATAACACATGAATAGTGAATAAGGAATAGGTTATCAATAAAGCACATTTTGATACTTTCATTATATATTATTTTCACAGTGGTGTAGTCTATGTTTATGATAAGACTAGGTAATAAATACAAAATAAGTCCAGTTATGTTGTTTAAACAGGCATTCAGGCAGTCACAGAGGACTCGCCTCCCCCATTCTACAGTGGATTCCTCTTGCACACCAATAGCCATTATAGCCCTTTTTTATTTACCTACTCCATTATTATTCGAAATATATCCATGGATACATTTTGAAATAATTCTCTAAATTTATCTTTCCAGTTTTATCTTTGTCACAAAAGAAACCTTAGTAAGATTGAGAGACAACGTTTCCTTGCAAAATTATGATATTGACACCTGTTGGGGACAAAGCCTTACCTGAGCGACAAAATCGATACAGTAGCGTGTCGAACTCTCGCAAGACTAGTCAGTTTCGCTCGAGAGTTAGCGCATTTCTCTTGCCTATAAACAAGCTCTGATGACATTAATGATAAGGAAAATGGATGCGAGTCTAAATATGTTTATTATGATAGTGATAACGGTATCAATAATAATGATAAAAAGGACAGTGATGATATTGATAGTAACGGCAGTGATAATGATTACGAATTATGAAAATAATTGATAATGATAATGCTGCCAATTAATAATAATAATAATAATGATAATGAGAGTGATAATAATGATAATGATAATAATGATAATGATAATCATAATGAAAATAATAAGAATAATAACAATACTGATAATCATGGTGATAATCATTATCATAATAAACAACACTGATAATGATTGCATTAATAATAGTGATAATCTTAGCAATGACAATAAAATGACACTGATGATGATAATGACAGGAATGATAGTATAAATAATAATCACACTGGCAATATTTATAAAAATGAAAACACCAATAATAACAACGATAATGTTAATGCTAATGATTGGGATATTGATAATGAAGATAATTATTTCGATAAAAATGAACAAAAACGGTAATAATGATTTTGACTGTTATATTACCATTGTCATTATCATCGTTGTTATTAATATTACCATTTTCATTATTATCATTATCTTCATCATTATTGTTGTTATTACAAACATTACCGTTATCATCATAAGCATCACCATTATTATTGTTACCATTACTATTATCATGATATTGACTTTAATAATGATTATTATCAATATGCAAATAACAGTACAAGAATACTACTACTGATAAGGACGATGATAATAATGCTAATGATAACATCAACGGCGGTATTAATAATGATGATGAACACATGAAAAAGAACATGATTAACAATCATGATAATGGTAAGGATAATAAAATGATCGTAAAAATGTTGATAACTTCAGTATCAATAACAGTAATAATAGTAATAACGATAGTAGTAATGACAACGATAATACAAATAATGCTACTACTACTATAAATGAAAACAATGATCATATTAATGATAATATTATAGATAATAATAGAAAATAAAAAATAATGATAATAGTAAGAGAAATAAGAGATAATAATAATTCTAAGGATAAAAATAAGATCAATAAAGAATAATGACACCACTAATAATGGTATAATATTGACAACAATAAACAATGGCAACAGTGATATTATTTTTAATAGTAATAGGGATAATGATGAGTAATGATAATGATGGTAATGATAATAACATTGATGGCAATGATAGTTATAATAAGTGATAATGATAATTGCCCCAATAAAAAGAATGTTAATAATGATAATGATAATGATGATAATAATAATCACAAGGTAACATTGATAACATGATTATTCATACAATTGTAGTAATGATAATATCAATAATAATATTGCTACTCTTGATAATGATGAAAATAATTATCATCCACAGTAGCTCCAGCAACACCAATATTAATAACGGTAAAAGTGATGATTTTAACAGTAACTTCAATTGTACAATTATAATTATAAAATGATAGTGGTGATGATTATAATGGTATTAACAGTAGTAGTAATAATGAAATAAGTTATGCTGATAATTATGATTATAACAATAGTAATGGTAGAAATTGTAGTGCTACTATCACTCAATAATGATTCTACTATTACCACTAGTAACATGAATAATGATAATCATAGCGATGATGACGATTATCATAACATTAACAAAAGTGATAAAAATAGTAATGATTATGATAACAATAAAGATATTCTGAATAATGATGACAAATAAGTTATTTTCAGAATTTAGGATATAATACTATAGCTATAATCAGATATTCCCTGAATCGCTTTCATTTTTGTTCACCTTTCCATTGCTTGTACATTTTCTTTGGCACCAGTCAGAAGTGGAGATATGACTTTTTCAGGATTTGAATCTGAGAAGACTATAGGAGTGTGGCAATATATGATATAGAATAACTTCTCATATTACTTTATTTGTCTATTTTTGTAAGGGGATGTGAAAACAGCCTCACCCAGGAGCCAAGGCGCTGTACGATACAAAAGATTAGACTGTAGAAAGGAAGGAAAGCCACCCCCTTGCCCATTTTCTGAGGTGGTCAAGATGTTCCCAAGGTATTTAAGGCGGCGTCATACCCATGGCCACCAGACAGCTCCTTGACGGTGGCCAACATGAACTCTCTGGTTAGTTTAGGAACCCCAGGTTTCGCTGAGGTTGAACGGAGTCTCTTCTCGTTTTGGTGATTTCAGTCAGGTTTAAAGATGAAATTTTCTCGGTTTCTAATTCAGTGTATTTTCATGTAATGAAAATGATGCATTTCAGACTGTGATTTCGGTGGCGGCTCTCGTGGCTAGCGGCAGCGCCTCCTTGCTTGCGTACAACGGCGTATATGGAGGCCATCACGGCCTTCTTGGCGCCTATCCTTACGCAGGGTATTCTGGTGTGGTGCCCTACGCATACGCAGGTGGCCTTCCCGCAGCTGCTCCTCTCTCCCTCAAAACACCTGTAATCAAGACCTTGGCTCCTACACCTATCTCTTACAACGTAGCTCCTGCACCTGTATCCTACAACGTGGCACCTGCACCTGTTTCCTACAACGTAGTTCCCTTCGCACCTGTAGCACCTGTCCAGTCTCAGTATCACGCTCAGGATGAGATCGGTCAGTACTCCTTCGGTTACGCCGGCGGTCCTTCTTCACGCGCTGAGTCTCGCGATGCCTTCGGTGTTGTCCGTGGATCGTACAACTACGTGGACTCTGAGGGCAAGGTTCAGACTCAGCACTACGTGGCTGACGCCCTTGGCTTCCGTGCGTCCGGCACCAACCTTCCTGTGGCTCCTGACGCCCCTCTGGCCGCCCTCCCGGCCCCGTCCCCGAACCCGTCCAGGACACTGCTGAGGTAGTCGCCGCCAAGCTCGCCCATTTCCAGGCCTACAACGAAGCCGCCGCGCCGCCGCTGCCGCCCCAGACACCCGCTAAAGAGTGTTTTAGAAACTGCATCATATCTGTGCGTAGAGCTCTCGCCAGCAGATAACATCAAGACTCTAGTCAGTTTCGATCGAGAGTTGACGAACGTGTATGAGATACCTCTGAATAAAAGTTTCTGTAAGATTTTACTTCCTTCTACATTTCTATACCCAATAATTTCATACCCTTTTTTAATCATGTTCCTAAAGAGGACAATGTTATGCCCATTATTATTTTTTTATCAACCTATTTTAATGCAAGTAAAATCGGGTGTAGTTTGCTCTCCATTTTACACATCAATATATTAACACAATCTTTTCTATGCCGTTCCTTAAACTATGAAATCATTGTACACGAAATTATTATTGCTTTATTTGGGATTTTTAGAACACGAGGACGAGATATAGTCCCTGTATGAAAATATTTCACTCATTTTGATTATGGTAATGAGTAATGGTGATTGTAATACTGTAAGTCATGTTTAATAATCATATTGATATCAACAATACGCGACCGATGGGGATGATTACTATACCTCTAATAATGAAAATGGTAATAGAAATGGTAATGGCAATAGCAATGCTAATAAACATGATAATTGATGATATAGATAAATATAATCATAATTTCGTTGAAATAGCTATACACTCGCTTGGTTTCAAATGGCAAGCGTGTCTGATTTTCCCCACGCTCACTTCGTGGGAAGAGCAGCCGCGTACTCTGTCAAGTAAATGAGAATAATTTTTGTATATCAAGATGGCCGTCCCTTCGATTACTATTCCAAGATTTTTTACTGAGGGAGAGAAGTTTGGCAATGCTGATTACGGGTATATAATCTGTAAACGACCTTCTTTTCATTTACAGTTCCAAGAAATCTTAATGAAACAAAGCATCATTACCCAAGTTCAGCAGTGTCAAACTCGAGTCTTTCCTGTGTCATGTTAGTTCAATTCAATCTACTGTAACAGAAACAACGGAGGTGATTTATGATTTAGTTTAATTTCATTAGTCACAATGAATATTTTTTGGATCAGGGTGTCTATTTATTATTACTTCTAAATTACCCCTTGTGTGCAAGGAAAGGCCGGGGTTACCATCAACTGGCGGGCGCGGGATTAGAACGCAGGTCAAGATTGCTGGACGAGAAAATACCACTGCACTACACAGAGTAGTAGTACATGAAGGGAGATTTTTGTTACTTTAAAAGACATGATTTGGTCTATGTTTTAAGATTCGATTAATAATACAATTTGAGTCGCATCCAATCCACATTAATTGAAAATCGCTTCTAGAATGAGAAGCTTATTTTCTCATATTATTTACACTTAGATGAAGGTATACTTAGACAAACAAGTTCGTTATAGTTTTCTATTCATCCTTCATTGCCTGCATCTTATATGAGTAAATGATATGCACTTACATAGAAGTACCGATCTCCATTGACATTAGTCATAAAATAGAAAGACAAAAAAAAACAGATTGTCCATGTAGTAGGATACTCAGCATATAATGCAGCTAACCTTCAGCCCATTCAAACATATGAAATTTATTATACCTTCTAATCCTTGCCATTGCCTTCTTTCTGGTTTGAATTCCTAATATTTAGATAAATATTACGCGGCATTTTTTACCAAAGTATCTATTCAAGTGGTTTTGCCATTCAGATTATAAAATGCCCTAAAACCTGTTTACATGATTATGAAACAAAATGCTCATCCTTGTATTTGTCAGAGATATTTCTCAAATACAAATTCTCAAGAAATATTTTGGGTCATGCAGTTGATCAGATAACCAATTATTCACCAACATTTTTTTTCAATAGTATTTCTATTCAAATTATCAGTAAACATTTCCTAAATCTTGAATGACTTGATTTTGTGTTTATTTCTCGTTTTCCTGCAATCCTCGAGGGTCACTTTCCCTCCACCACCTGCGCCCCAAAACATCCTTTGAAACCTCTACTTAAGGGCACCTCAAGTTAAACAATGAGATGGTCCTATAAGCGATGCATATATAACAGTAAATCTCAAAGTTCTATCCCGGATTTAGAACATTTTATTTATCGCAACGAAAGGTCGAAAATAGAAAGGAAGGATAGCCACGCCCCTTCCGAAATGGTCATGTTCCCCGGGTATTTAAACCGCAGCCATACCCATGGGCATCAGACAGCTCCTTGGTGGTGGGTCAACATGAATGCTCTGGTGGGTTCAAGGTAGTCCAGGTAGAATATGGGGACTCATATTTTGTTTGTATATTAAGGTTGTTGAATGAAATCTTTGTTTCTGGATTTTCATTACACGATAACGTGCTGTAATGGAAATGTTCCATTTCAGACTGTGATTTCGGTGGCGGCTCTCGTGGCTAGCGGCAGCGCCTCCTTGCTTGCGTACAACGGCGTATATGGAGGCCATCACGGCCTTCTTGGCGCCTATCCTTACGCAGGGTATTCTGGTGTGGTGCCCTACGCATACGCAGGTGGCCTTCCCGCAGCTGCTTCTCTCACCATCAAAACACCTGTAATCAAGACCTTGGCTCCTACACCTATCTCTTACAACGTGGCTCCTGCACCTGTCTCCTACAACGTAGCTCCTGTAGCTGTATCCTACAACGTAGCTCCTTCACCTGTTTCCTACAACGTAGCTCCTGTGGCACCTGTTCAGTCTCAGTATCACGCTCAGGATGAGATCGGTCAGTACTCCTTCGGTTACGCCGGCGGTGCATCTTCACGCGCTGAGTCTCGCGATGCCTTCGGTGTTGTCCGTGGTTCGTACAACTACGTGGACTCTGAGGGCAAGGTTCAGACTCAGCACTACGTGGCTGACGCCCTTGGCTTTCCGTGCGTCCGGCACCAACCTTCCCGTGGCTCCGACGCCCCTCTGGCCGCCCTCCCGGCCCCGTCCCCGAACCCGTCCAGGACACTGCTGAGGTAGTCGCCGCCAAGCTCGCCCATTTCCAGGCCTACAACGAAGCCGCCGCCGCCGCCGCTGCCGCCCCAGACACCCGCAAGAAGCGTTCCGTCCTTGCGGCTCCCGGTCTCGGCGTCTACTCTCCTCTCCGTTTCTCCTACGGATTCTCCACTCCCCTCCACTACGCCCACCCAACTACCTATGCTTCTCCTCTTCACTACACTGCCGCCCATCCCGCCCTCACCACCTACAACGCCGTCCACGTCCCCACCACCTACGCCGCCGCCGCCAGACCCGCCCTCCGTGACGCCGAACTCCTCCGCGTGGTCCACAACCCCGCCCACGCCACCTCCTACCGCGTGCTCAACTGAGTTGGAATCCAGTCACGTGAGGTGTGACGAACGCATTTGATGAGGTTTGACATCTCATTATTTGTACAAAAAGCGAATTATGTTTGATCTATTAAATAAAATGATTTCACTGTCAGCATACTGTCATGAACCTAAACCGCAGTCAGCTAGTAACGTGTACGGCAGAGCAATAATAATAATAATGATAATAATGACAAAATATTTAGTTGCCCTATATATATGCGTTCACACATGATATATATATATATATATATATATATATATATATATATATATATATATACATATTGCATACAAATGCATGTAAATGCATAAATCCACGAACCAACATCAACAAACGAAAAACCAGTTTGTACATATACCCGAATATATATATATATATATATATATATATATATATATAATATATATATACATATGTATGTATATGTATGTACACATATTTATCTATATATGAATATACTTGTATGTGTCAATCATATGCAACAGAACAGAAAAATATAAAATAGAATTACAAAAATAATGAAAAACTTTTATGGAGTCACATACTTAAGTAGAACAGTTATCAATAACTTTGACCTCCATTCCCCTTTCTATCCATACCTTTCTTTCTCTTTTCCCATCCAGTCTTATGCGGCGCCATTAACACTCCTGACATCTGCCGGGAGAAATTCAACACAGGAAAACAAAGCATATCTATATGTATTCTTACATACTCGATATCATATTACTTGACAGTATGTCCAGATAACACATGAATAGTGAATAAGGAATAGGTTATCAATAAAGCACATTTTGATACTTTCATTATATAATATTTTCACAGTGGTTTAGTCTATGTTTATGATAAGACTAGGTAATAAATACAAAATAAGTCCAGTCATGTTGTTTAAACAGGCACTCAGGCAGTCACAGAGGACTCGCCTCCCCCATTCTACAGTGGATTCCTCTTGCACACCAATAGCCCTTTTTTATTTTACCTACTCCATTATTATTCGAAATCCATGGATATATTTTGAAATAATTCTTTAAATTTATCTTTCCAGTTTTTTCTTTGTCACAAAAGAAACCTTAGTAAGATTGAGAGACAACGTTTCCTTGCAAAATTATGATATTGACACCTGTTGGGGACAAAGCCTTACCTGAGCGACAAAATCGATACAGTAGCGTGTCGAACTCTCGCAAGACTAGTCAGTTTCGCTCGAGAGTTAGCGCATTTCTCTTGCCTATAAACAAGCTATGATGACATTAATGGTAAAGAAAATGGATGTGGGTCTAAATATGTTTATTATGATAGTGATAACAGTATCAATAATAATGATAAAAAGGACAGTGATGATATTGATAGTAACGGTAGTGGTAATGATTACGAATCATGAAAATAATTGATAATGATAATGCTGCCAATTGATAATTATGATAATAATAATGATAATGAGAGTGATAATAATGATAATGATAATGATGATAATGATAATCATAATGAAAATAATGAGAATGATAACAATACTGATAATCATGGTGATAATCATTATCATAATAAACAACACTGATAATGATTGCATTAATAATAGTGATAATCTTAGCAACGACAATAAAATGACACTGATGATGATGAAAATGATAGTAATGATAATATAAATAAGAATCACACTGACAATAATTATAAGAATGAAAACACCAATAATAACAACGATAATGTTAATTAATACTAATGATATTGATAATGATAATAATTTCAATAATAATGAGAACGTAAAAATAACAAAAACGATAATAATGATTCTAGTTATAATAAAGACTTTGATTGTTATATCATCCTCATTGATATTACCATTATCATTATCATCATTATCTTCATTCTTATTGTTATTGCTAACATTACCGTTATCATCATAACCATCATCATTGTTATTGTTACCATTACTATTATCATGATATTGACTTTAATAATGATTATTATCAATATGCAAATAACAGTACAAGAATACTACTACTGATAATAACGATGATAATAATGCTAATGATAACATCAACGGCGGTATTAATAATGATGATCACATGAAAAAGAATGTGATTAACAATCATGATAATGATGATAATAATAGAATGATCGTAAAAAATTTGATAACTTCAGTATCAATAACAATAGTAATAGTAATAACGATAGTAGTAATGGCAATAACAATACTAATAATGTTACTACAGCTATAAATGAAAACAATGATTATGTTAATGATAATGATATAGATAATAGAAAATAAAAAATGACAATAGGAAAAAAAAATATATAACGAGGGGGAGGATTCAAAGGATAAAAATAAAATCAATAAAGAATAACGACACCACTAATAATGATGATGACGATTATCATGATATTAACAATAGTGATAAAAATAGTAATGATGATAATGATAACAATAATAAAGATATTCTGAATAATGATGACAAATAATTGTAAGTCAATTTTCTGAATTTAGGATATAATACTGTAGCTAAAATCAGATATTCCCTGAATCGCTTTCATTTTTGTTCACCTTTCCATTGCTTGTGCATTTTCTTTGGCACCAGTCAGAAGTGGAGATATGACTTTTTCAGGATTTGGATCAAAGAAGACTATAAGAGTGTGGCAATATATGATATAAAATAACTTCTCATATTACTTTATTTGTCTATTTTTGTAAGGGGATGTGAAAACAGCCTCACCCAGGAGCCAAGGCGCTGTACGATACAAAAGATTAGACTGTAGAAAGGAAGGAAAGCCACGCCCCCTTGCCCATCTTCTGAGGTGGTCAAGATGTTCCCAAGGTATTTAAGACGGCGTCATACCCATGGCCACCAGACAGCTCCTTGACGGTGGCCAACATGAACTCTCTGGTGAGTTTAGGAACCCCAGTTTTCGCTGAGGTTGAACGGAGTCTCTTCTCGTTTTGGTGATTTCAGTCAGGTTTAAAGATGAAATTTTCTCGGTTTCTAATTCAGTGTATTTTCATGTAATGAAAATGATGCATTTCAGACTGTGATTTCGGTGGCGGCCCTCGTGGCTAGCGGCAGCGCCTCCTTGCTTGCGTACAACGGCGTATATGGAGGCCATCACGGCCTTCTTGGCGCCTATCCTTACGCAGGGTATTCTGGTTTGGTGCCCTACGCATACGCAGGTGGCCTTCCCGCAGCTGCTCCTCTCTCCCTCAAAACACCTGTAATCAAGACCTTGGCTCCTACACCTATCTCTTACAACGTAGCTCCTGCACCTGTCTCCTACAACGTAGCCCCTGCACCTGTCTCTTACAACGTAGCTCCTGCACCTGTATCCTATAACTTGGCTCCTGCACCTGCTTCCTACAACGTAGATCCCTTCGCACCTGTAGCACCTGTCCAGTCTCAGTATCACGCTCAGGATGAGATCGGTCAGTACTCCTTCGGTTACGCCGGCGGTCCTTCTTCACGCGCTGAGTCTCGCGATGCCTTCGGTGTTGTCCGTGGTTCGTACAACTACGTGGACTCTGAGGGCAAGGTTCAGACTCAGCACTACGTGGCTGACGCCCTTGGCTTCCGTGCGTCCGGCACCAACCTTCCCATGGCTCCCGACGCCCCTCTGGCCGCCCTCCCCGGCCCCGTCCCCGAACCCGTCCAGGACACTGCTGAGGTAGTCGCCGCCAAGCTCGCCCATTTCCAGGCCTACAACGAAGCCGCCGCCGCCGCCGCTGCCGCCCCAGACACCGCTAAAGAGTGTTTTAGAAACTGCATCATATCTGTGCGTAGAGCTCTCGCCAGCAGATAACAGCATCAAGACTCTAGTCAGTTACGATCGAGAGTTGACGGACGTGTATGAGATACCTCTGAATAAAAGTTTTTGTAAGAAAGATTTTGTCTCAATTACTTTCTTCTACATTTCTGTACCCAATAATTTTATACCCTTTTTTAAATCATGTTCATAAGGAGGACAATGTTATGCCCATGTTTTTTTTTTTTTTTTTTTTTTTTTTTTTTTTTTTTTAATCAACCTATTTTAATGCAAGTAAAATCGAGTGTAGTTTGCTCTCCATTTTACACATCAATATATTAACACGATCTTTTCTATACCGTTCCTTAAACTATGAGACCATTGTACACGAATTTATTGCTTTATTGGGATTTTTAGAACACCGGACGAGATATGGTCCCTGTATG